GTTGTTCTGCCGTTTGGTCAATTTGCATGTTAGCCTTTTATTATATAGGATCATTAAGTGGTAAGTAAATTATTGGTTACTTAACTTTCATCTGAGGCTTTAGCTAAATCTATACTACTTAAAAAAAAGAAAACTCTTTCTAAAATTCTATTTCTTTGCTAAGGCATTTTGCTATGCAAAAGAACATGGGCTCAATCCTGAGAGTTTACAAACCCAAAACAAACACACACAGAAGACAGATCACGGTATCTGATGTCAGATTTTTTAAGGCCAAAGTAAAATTGTGATTACTACAAACCAATAGTGAAAAATAACCCACTGCCTTAAATTAAAGAAAAATTTCATCTTTACAACAAATTAAATAGAGAATCTCAATTCAGTTATAGGAAACAAACTCCTGCCAACATTGTTAGATTATCCTAATTGTAAAGTAAGAGACCTTAGATTTAAGCATAATATCCAACCTAATTATATTCCAAACACATTAAATAGCGGAGCATTCTACAGGAAGGAAACTTAGTTGATTTATTGCTTAAATTATGGAAAAGCAACTCAGTTATAGGGCATATTTTTGCATTTAAAAGATCAGCTTTTTCATGTAATGGCTGTGTAATTGGTGTTAAGAAGCAGATTCCAGTTCCAGAGAGTGATCATGCTTCTGAAATTGCATTCTCATCTAGCTCTATACATATGAATTGACATTTTTATTTTGCTTCTTTGTTCCCCCTTGTCTTACGGGTTTCTCCTGGGAGTGCATCCTGAATGAACCCTGTGTATCCTAACCCTTGACCTGGCCTATGATTCTAGGAGAGTTTATGTATATCCTCGATCAAGCAAAATATTAGTCTCAACGATAAATTTTATAATTTCTCTCTCTCTATTACTGGTGTTTTGCTCCCTCTCCTCTAATAACAGAGTTGGGTTTTAGTTGCAAAACCCAACCTATTGTCATTTGCACAACCTTCACTGGACAGCAGAACCATCCAGGAAGCTTTGTAAAAATGCAATTTTCTGGGACTTACCTTAATAGTTTGTAATTCACTGGGCCAATAGAGAAGACTTAGAAATCTGATTTTACAGCATACTTTTAAGGAGATTCTGATACTGGGGGAACTAGGACACTCTTTACAAAAACAGATCTAGCTTCTCACACAATAAATTGAAAAATGTCTGCATATAATGAATTCACATGCATAAGGTAAGATATCTTATATCTATTTACATATGATTTATAAACATCTAATATTATCTCAAGTCCTTCTATCTGTACATGAGGAATTGGTTACTGGATGCTCTTATTAATCCAATACTTTCTAACCATAGTGATAGGACACAGTGGTGTGTTACAATCAGATTTTAGGTACATGATAAAAAATTGGTTGTTAATGACATTTAAAGTCAGTTACTGGTACTTTTAACCAATAAGTTAGAGTGATTTGCAGTTATCCATAAAATGATATTCCCCTTTATTTGAATTTTTATATGCCTTACCCAATGGAAGAGGAGAGAGTTGAACCAGAGCCACAGTGCTTTAAGAATAGCATAATACACTCTGAGAGTCCTGGCCGGTCACTGCTCTTGCTACTGCACCATTAATAGCCATGTAAGAATGAATTGTTGTAGCAATTTATTTCCATAGAAATGTAATTGTTTGGTTTCATAAAACTCTGTTAAGCATAAACAGGAGTCCTCTACATGAATGTCCCTATGTTAACTTTTACTAATGGGTAGAAAAAGAAGAAAGGTGGCATAGAAGTTGCAGGCATTTCAAAACTGCTGAGGTTCACGGATTTTCAAAAAAGTACCAAGACAAAATAACAAAACTGTGGTTTTGAAATTGGCACAGAGAGGTGTCAGTACAATGACACCTGAAATAGAGCCCATGGTAATCAGATATGGATGGCATCATTTATTTTTTTCCACAGAGGGGAGGAAAATATGAAAACAATATTTGGTTACGGTCTCCTTAAGAAATCAATAAGACAATAGATTTTCTTTTTCCCACTTTCAGCCTAATAGTCTTGCTTAGTTTTGTCTCTAACCAACTGATTTGGGATACAAAATACTCTTGCCTCACCAAATTTACACCTTCAACTGAAACAAGGGCAAATTTTGCAAAATCTAAAGTAGAGAAAATTTGGGTTTTCTCATTGATCCAATCCTGGCTCACCAACTTACCACCAGACATTTGGAGTAAGTAGTTCCTGTATTTGTGCTCAGAGATCTAAAATTGCTTTTTTGAGCATCTTTAAGTTGTGATATTTTTTTCTATTACACATAAAATGTTTCTGAGTTCTCTGAATTGCTTCTGTTATACTTCTCTACCTGCCAGAGAATTTACATAGGACTCCTTCCCCAATCCTACTCCTTAGAAGACACTGGAGAAATGAAAAAAATAAAAATAAAAAATAAACCAGCACCAGCAAACCTTAATGATCTCTGGAAGCCCGGAAAAGAATATTTCAGGAAAAAAAATAGATGTTTTAAATGTTTTAAGGTCATTAACAAGGTTGTAAATTTATGGGGAATGTGGGAGGTAAAAAAAAAAAAGTATTTTTATTATTTTCTGTATTCATAGACTCCAATTCCTCATTTCCCTAGCTGAGCTTTAACTTAATTATAAAACAAAATCTATAGTTGCAGCCAGGCCTAGAGGTAGAGCCTGTACAACTAATCAACTTTAATTCCCTGGGTTCGATTTAATTATAAAACAACATTTGGTGCAGCTGCTAAACACTTACTAGGTGACCAACCACATGGTAACAGTACTGGAGGAGTATTTACAGGGCTCCAGTTTTTGCTCTGCTTCTATCAGCTCAATTATGGTTCAATTATATAGAAATTTGAACAGCCTCTAGGATATACAATAACAGAGAATTTTCTTGATTTTATACATCCCTGTAGTTGAGCCAGTTAAAATATTGAGCTGCACTACAACTAATTAATGCCAGGATGTAAAATTTAATGATGAAAGAGATGTCCTAATAAAGGACAATAATGACGAATCCAATATCCATAGCGTACATCTTACCATTTTTTATTCCTTCTTTCTGTGCAATAGATGAAGTGAAACCAGCTTATATGTAAAGCGAGTTATCAGTTTGCCTTTTAAGTTATAACATACATCACTCTTCAATATAACCAGTCATAGCTAACTCATTCTTTTGCTTGTTCTTTCATGTTCCACAAGACAACTTAAGAGGTAAATATCTGTGTTACAAAATATTTTACCTGACAAAATTAGAATTAAGCACTGATATTTTTTAAATAGCTAGTTCCTCTAGTATATTTAAGATATACCCAATTTCCACAAACATGCAGGAAGAGCACAGCAATAAGTGAGATCTGATTTTTCATCTGATAATATTTGGGCAAAGGTTTCATGGGCAATTAGCTTTTCAGCTCAGCATTTTTAATTTTATTTTAGCTTGCCCAAATATACCACGTACATGGGATCCGGTTCCTCCCTCGGTCTACAGGAGGACAAAAGAAAATTATTTCAATTGAGGGGAAAAATCAAGAAGTGGTATCAGTAAAGGAGTTACCAATGATGCCAAAATAAATATGACCCTTACTGCTTCTACAGCAGCTCAGAAGGAAACACAGAGGGTGCCATCGAATCCAAATGAGGATTTGAAGTGGGTGTATAAGTGCAACAGAAAGTGTTTCTTCTGCTTTCTTTTTTCCTAGATGTGAATCTCCTTTTTTAGGGCAGAACTGGGTAAAAAGCTAACGAGAGGCTGGATCCTATTTAATTGTATCTACAGAGAAAAAAAGAAAAATAGATGACCTTCAGTGCAAACTACCGGATCAATGATCCCTTTCTTCACCTTCCAACCGCAGGCGCTGGTGTGGATTTTACCTGGTGCTGTCCTGCTTGGCTACCTTGGACTCTGGACAAAGAAGACGCTGTACGTTTCAAAGTCGAAAGGCTAATTTCTCAGTGCTGACAGTGTCTGTCATTCTCTTACCCCAGAGACTATCTTTCTCTACTGAACAGTGACTGCCTCACAGGAGGAAGCAGTCCTGCATGCTGTAAGAAAATGGGATAGGAGGAATTATGATGGTTACCAGATGTCCCAGTGCCCCTGAGGGCGCCAGAATGCTTCCGCGTGTGCTGGAAACAGTATAAACTGTCAGACCACAGGCCCCTGGGGCACGGTGCTCATGCTGCCCTGCTGTGCAGAGTCATAAGATTCGAGAGTGGGAAGGAGCCTTAGAGATGCTCTGAGCCAGGGGTTTTAAACGATGTCTGGGGAAGGTCTGTTTCCTAAGTGTGACCCAGGGATTGCTGCAGAGTAAGGGGATCTCCTTAAAACAGTCGCAGCACTCTTGGAAAGAATGTAAAATCTTATGTCAGGGCTAACAAGACAGGATATTTTATCAAACAAAACTCAGTTGTGAAAGTCCAAGGCAGCTCAGGAAAAGAACCGTGGAAAATCACCATCCCAGTGGCTGTCTGACATTCCCAGAGGGGAGGCCCTAGAGCTCAGAAGGTTGATGCAGGAACTCGAGGGTGAGATAGGCCCAGTGGCTCTGGAATCTGGAAATTAAATTATATCACTAAGCTGTAATATCAGGATGTGAAATAAAGCCTTCTCAAGACAAGTTAACCAAACCTTATAACGCTTCTCATTTTCTTTGGGGGAAAAAATACCACTTAGAAAAATGTTACCTTTTCCCATTATTTTAAAATTTGGCAATTTAATACATTATTGGCCTAATGATGATTTAATTCTTAGTCTGTTTTACCTATTTTCAAATGAAAAAAATACTGTGGTTGTTCAAAGAACCTCTTTACTGCCACCATTAGGAAGGAAGAAGGGAGGGAGGGAGGGAGGTGGAAGGAGTTAAGGAAAGAATGAAAGAAGCAGCAGCTATTTCTGTGTTCTTAAATGGAACCAATTATGATGAGAGAAGATGAGAGAGATTTTTATCACAGGGTAAAGCACAGGGTCAAACAGACAATCACACAAGCAGGACAGATAGGTCTGTCTCACCATCACTGTTGATGCAGACAACCTCCTGGACTTGAGCGCCTGGACCACACTCTTTTCCATTGTCTGGTTCACAGTCTCCAAGCCTCACTGCTTTCCACTCGTAGCAGGATGGCTCCTCACAGGGAATGGCTTCCAGTAAGTGAGGGCAGCTCCCAGTGCCCCCCGAGCCTCCAGGGGGCTCATTGGTAATGCGCCGCTTCCTCAGTTTGAAACCTGATTTATTGGGGAAGGAAAATATTTATTGCTACCATGGAGGGTTGAATATTGTAGAAGGCTGAAAAAAATCCAAAAAACTCGGAGTGAAAGGTGGATGAGGTTAGGAGGTATAAATCATATCTGCTTTAATCACTGGTATATCCTCAAACTCTAGGCCAGTGGTCGGCAAACTGTGGCTCGAGAGCCACATGCGGCTCTTTGGCCCCTTGAGTGTGGCTCTTCCACAAAATACCAACTTCTATGCATGGGCCACGAAGTTTCAATCGCACTGTACAGTGGGGCCTTGACTTACGAGTTTAATTCGTTCCATGACGGAGCTCGTAACTCAAATTACTCGTATGTCAAATCAAAAGTGAACGAGTGAGACACGTGATGCTGGGCTGATATTGTGGCGTTCACTGTGACGTTCGCTGCGCCAACTAGCGGTGGGGTATCTGAAGTTGGCTCGTAGCCCAAATTTTAGCTCGCAACTCAAAGCAAAAAATCGTCCAAGAGACGGCTCGTATCTCGAAAAACTCGTTAGTCGGGACACTCGAAAGTCAAGGCCCCACTGTACATGCGTGCCCGCACGTGGTATTTTGTGAAAGAGCCACACTCAAGGGGCCAAAGAGCCACATGTGGCTCGTGAGCCGCAGTTTGCCAACCACTGCAGGCTAATGTGAGTTTATTAATAATTCATTAAATATATAAATGAATGAATAAACATAATGGCCAAAGAGAAACTTTTGGTGTTAGCTTACTATAGTAAAAATAAGGCAAGACATGCCATCTATCTCCCATCACATCCTCAAGGGCTGTAGGTAGGGGGAGGAAGAGAGAGAAAAAGAGAGATCTAGATTGATTTTGCTTGACTTAGAAAGTCTGCAGTTATAAAATATTCAAAGAAACAATGAAATATCAAGCTATTCAGAAATATTCATGACCAGACAAAAGTGCTATTCAAATTCTTCAATACTACCGCATGATTAAATCTGAAAAGGAACTTCTTATAAGTTGAACAGTCCCAGGAAATTGTCCCTTTGAGACTTAGTTGATTTTGAACTCCCTGGAAATTAGAATTAGGGATATAAACCATCTGGACTCTAATGAGTAGTCAAAGTCCTGTTCTGTGCCTTCGTAGCACATAAGTGTTGCCTTTCTGACAATGTATAACAAAATTCATGTCTGTTGCTATGTGAACCTGTTGGAATCTCTAGGACACTACCCTTTGAAAGAAAACGGGGAAATGATTTTCATTACCTGATCATGTTAAAATTATCCCACCATGCTTACCACATAACAAGACACTGCATTTATTCTACTCTTCCTAGAATTATCATTTGCATCATAAAATCAATAGCATTTTGTTTTTGTTTTTATCTTCAGAGTAATGAGTTCTGTTTACTGGGCACTAGCTACGGGTCAGGCACTGAATTAAGAGCTTTATGCCGAAACCGGTTTGGCTCAGTGGTTAGAGCGTCGGCCTGCGGACTGAAAGGTCCCAGGTTCGATTCCGGTCAAGGGCATGTACCTGGGTTGCGGGCATATCCCCAGTAGGAGATGTGCAGGGGGCAGCTGATCGATGTTTCTCTCTCATCGATGTTTCTAACTCTCTATCTCCCTTCCTCTCTGTAAAAAATCAATAAAATATATTTTTTAAAAAAAAGAGCTTTATGATTATTATCTCATTGAATCTTTAGAGAAAACTTGGGTGGCAGATATTATTACATCCCCCTCAAAGATAAAGGGACAAAGATTTAGATAAGTTAATTAACTTATCTAAACAATATAAGACTGAATAGGGTTTCCAATCCAGGTCAGCCTGACACCACAGCTAATTATAACCACTGTGCAAAATTGCCTTAGACATTCTCCATCTGTTGTCTAAATTACCAAATATCTTGCTTACTTCAATTTCAATCTTCTGGTACCATCACCAGACTAGGTTTATTCATCTTTTACAATCAATACTCTTTAGCCATTCTGGAAAATATCACAAATGAATAACTACAAGAGAAACAGAGTAGCCTTTTTAAATAACTCATGGTTTGACACAATTGATGAGAATTCCAAGTATGCCATGTTAACATTACATACCTTTTTTGCCTTGCTGGTCATTACAGTTTTCATAAGTACAAGGTCCCCAAGCTGACCACGGTGAAACCTCACATTCAATTGGACAGGGGATGTGGCACAGCTGTGTGGTGTTAGGAACAGGGCCAGTGCATAATTTCAAATCCACTGGTTTGGAGGCTGTTTGGAGAAAAATACAGAGATTCCTTAAGAATTAGACAAGTTGTTATGCTCAACAGCCTGATTGTTCTGCATGTATGGAGAAGGAAAATGCTTAAAGAAGTGCCAGCAAAACATTATTCCAATGCTTCTCAACTACGTCCTGAGAATAAAAGGAGAAGGAATGGAAAGCAGCAGGATGGTGTAGTCCAAGGGGATGGGCAAGAAGTCTTGCAGATTGTTTGTTCACCAGCTTTACCACTAATTAGTCATGCAATTGATGATGCGGGGTCTAACTTTCCTAGGCAATAAAATAATCCTTAAGGTCAATTTAATCCCTAACATTCTGCAGTTAGAGTTTAAGAAAGTGGCATCTACTTTAGAGGACTGAAATAATAGGAGGGAGACTGCAGCTTTACTACATATGGAAAAAAAATATATTGTGGCTTCTGGTGGAGCAGTCTCCCTTTCCTTTTGGTCCCAGAGAAGTAACTGGTGGATGTGATGAAGGAAGAGCTCATGCCACCAAATGGGGCATCTCTCTTGACCTCCAGCCGCATGAATCACCAGATACTTTCCAGAACTTTTACTGAAAACATCATCTGCCTATGTGATTCAAATCTCAGAATTGCTAAGAAGGCTAATTTATAATTGTCTATGCTTGTTCATAAGTTGGCCAATAAACTATGGATAAGTACTGCTTGCCCTTGCTTCTCTTCTATGATGATGTGTGCAGTTTGGCTATTATTTACAGCAAATGCATTTGACAGTTAGTGTAAATGACTAAGTGAGAAAGATATTTGCTACATATACAGCAGAAAAGAATCAAGTTTAGGTGTGTATTGTATCCTATATAGCTGTAGTTATTTTGTTGTAAACATTTTAAGAAGTAAATGTTTTGGACACCATTTCCTTTAATAAAAGCTAATTTCCTGTTTCTGTCTGATAATTTAGGACGCCCATACCTGTGGCACGAAGGACAGAAATAAAAGAGGTCTTAGATAATTCTCATTCTCTTTATGTAAAGAACTATCCAATTCCAATTGCATGGAATTGCATCTAGAAGCTCACAGAAATTAAAATAATTTAAGCTATATTGCCCTAATTTTTAAATAAAAGTACTAACTACATCAGCTTGTAGTTCAACCTCTAAGGCAAACTGTGGGTACTTTCTCATCACTCAGCTTCCTGCACTCACAGAGACGCTCACTCATCAATGCTACCTGAAGGCTCTTACATTACCACCTCTTCTGCCAATCTGACAAAAAAAAAGGTAATTTTGATTCATTCACACTGGATAACTATTGTTGTATTGGCTTTTTTTTTTTTTTTTTTTTTTTTTTTTTTTTTTTTTTTTTTACAACCTAAGGGAAAAGAGATCACTGCCCTTGACTAAACAGTCAGGTATTGCATGTTTTAAAAATTCTTGTGGCACACCAGTGTGCCTCTAGTGGTAGAAAAAATCGCTGGACTAGCATTTAAATGATAATTGTGTCTATGTCTCCATTTTTTTTTTTCAGTTGACTAAAAGTAATTTTAAACATTATGTTGTTTTGAAACTCATTATTATAATGGGAGTCCTTTATGCCTGTAACTGTGAGGACTGTTATAGAGCCTGAAAAATTTATTTTATATATAAGGTTGAAAACTAGGAGGGAAACGGGGTTTTATCAAGGGAACAGGTTAAAATATTGTGTTTTTAATTCCTGGCCATTTTCATTATGAGCATAATGTTAGCTTTCAGTGTATTTTGAATGAATTCATAGAATAATCAGTCACAGAAATCTTCTGGAGCTATTATGAGAGAAATGTGTTGAATAAAGGCTTGAGGAAGTATTGCTTAAAGCAAAATACTCTTGAGATCTTCTCAGCTGCTAAACTACTCAAGTCAACACAGAGATAATATAGTTCTTGAAAAAGAACCTCCATTTTATAGATGTCTTTATAGAATATATATAAAAGTTATTTCATCAATCAAAGAAACACAGGAAGAGAGTACATATTTCTGTATGATTCTATTCCTTTGGTGATTTTCATTATAGGTTTTTCTTGTGAATAGGGTACATATTGATTAATGTAAATCTCAGATACTAGCTGAGCTCCTCAAAAACTATAAGTCAATTACATTTTTTTGCAATTGCCTAAGGGTTATTTGGAATAAGTGTAATTCAATGAATGAGGTAAAGGACAGGCCCTGGAGACCTTGCTGAATCCCAGTTTAATTTGTGGATAAAATTCCTGTAGTTCTGTATTACATAATGTAGTGTTATTGCTGATCATATATTCTCAAAAACTAAGATTTGAATTTTCTAGAATAGCCTATTCATTATTCATTTTAATTATACTACCTAAGGAATTGTTCATCCAATACAGGCTCCAAAGAAATACGTTCGATTTTTTTAAAAGTCTTATTGTTGGATCTCTTAAAAATAAAGGATAAATGTTATTGATCACTTTGGAATTAAAGGGTATTCAATTATATTTACTTTGCATGCTTCATGGGGTTACAAAAGAATGTTTGAACTTTCCGAAACTGGCTAAACAAACAAAAAAATAAGACGTGCATTTCTGCAGGTCCAAAATATGTTTGTACTCTTATGTTTGTAGCATTACAAATGGGAAAAAATCATTATAGGAAGCAAACTTAAGACTTCTTTACAGCAATGTGGTCAATGAGGCATTCTGAAAATATATCATGTATAACCCCTAAGAACAGCGAATGTGTTATTTTAAAATTTGAACATTTTTTTAAGTTCTTTATTGATTAAGTTATTACATATGTGTCCTTATCCCCACATTACCCACCACACCCCCACTCATGTCCTCACCACCCTATTGTCTGTGTCCATTGGTTAGGCCTATATACTTGCATATAAGTCCTTTGGTTGATCTCTCCCCCTTCCCCCACCCTTCCCTACCTTCCCTCTGAGGTTTGATGGTCTGATCAATGTTTCTCTGTCTCTGTCTTTGTTCATCAGTTTATGTTGTTCATTATATTCCATAAATGAGTGATATCATGTGATATTTATCTTTATCTGCCTGGCTTATTTGACTTAGCATAATGCTCTCCAGTTCCATCCATGCTGTAAGAACTCCTTTTTTACCACAGCATAGTATTCCATTGTGTAGATGTACCACCGTTTTTTAATCCACTCATCTACTGATAGGCACTTAGGCTGTTTCCAAATCTTAGCTATGGTTAATTGTGCTGCTATGTCATAGGGGTGCATATATCCTTCCTGATTGGTGTTTCTAGTTTCTTGGGATATATTCCTAGAAGTGGGATCACTGGGTCAAATGGGAGTTCCATTTTTAGTTTTTTGAGGAAACTCCATACTGTTCTTCACAGTGACTGCACCAGTTTGCATTCCCACAAGCAGTGCACGAGGGTTCCTTTTTCTTCACATCCTCGCCAGCACTTGTCATTTGTTGATTTGTTGATGATAGCCATTCTGACAGGTGTGAGATGGTACTGCATTGTCATTTTGATTTGCCTCTCGGATGATTAGTGACTTTGGGCATGTTTTCATATGTCTTTTGGCCTTTCTTCTGTCTTCTTTTGAAAAGTATCTATTTAGGTCTGTTGCCCATTTTTTGATTGGGTTGTTTATCTTCCTTTTGTTAAGTTGTACGAGTTCCCTGTAAATGTTGGAGATTAAACCGTTATTGGTGATAACATTTGCAAATATGTTCTCCCATGCAGTGGGCTTTCTTATTTTTTTTGTTGATGGTTTCCTTTGCTGTGCAAAAGCTTTTTATTTTGATGTAGTCCCATTTGTTTATTTTCTTTTTAGTTTCCATTGCCCTAGGAACAATACCAGTGAAGAAATTGCTTCGGCATATGTCTGAGAGTTTGCTGCTTGTGGATTCCTCTAGTATTTTTATTGTTTCCCATCTTATGTTTAAGTCCTTTATCCATTTTGAGTTTATTTTTATGTATGGTGTAAGTTGGTGGTCTAGTTTCATTTTTTTGCATGTATCTGTCCAATTTTCCCAACACCATTTATGGAAGAGGCTGTCTTGACTCCATTGTATGTTCATGCATCCTTTGCTGAATATTAATTGAGCATAGTGGTTTGGGTCGATTTCTGGGTTCTCTATTCTATTCCATTGATCTATATGTCTGTTCTTGTGCCAGTACCAGGCTGTTTTGAGAACAGTGGCTTTGTAATACAGCTTAATATCTGGTAGTGAGATCCCACCTACTTTGTTCTTCTTTCTCAGGATTGCTGCAGCTTTTCGGGGTCTTCTTTTATTCCAGATAAATTTTTGGAAAGTTCATTCTAGGTCTGTGAAATATGCCATTGGTATTTTAATGGGGGAGTGCATTGAATCTATAGATTGCTTTGGGTAGTACGGACATCTTGATGATGAACATTTTTTTACATAATTGTAGATTCACATAAAATTGTAACTTCACAGAGATTCTATATACCCTTTACTCAATTTCTCCCAATGTTATGATCTTAAAAATATATTGCACAATGTCATAGCAAGAATATTGACATCAGTACATTCTAGCTTCTCTCCAAAGTTCAGCATCATCTAATGGCTTATTTACTATATAATGTGCAAGCGTTTTTCTGTTTCAAGCATGAGAATTAGGAAAAATCATATATCTGCTATCTTCCTGGAAGCAGAAGTCTATATATTATTATTTTTTAGGGCTTTAAAACTACTCTCTATGATACTATAGTAATACACACACACACACACACACACACACACACACACATTCTCTCTCTCCCTCTCTCTCTCTCTCTCTCTCTCTCTCTCTCTCTCTCTCTCTCTCTCTCTCTCTCTCTCACTGATCCAATCTCAGAACTTCTTTAATTATCAAGGGCAAAGGAAGGCATTTTTTAGACAGAAAATGAGAATTTTAACTATGAAAGGCTATTTGACCTCTGATTACCCTTCACCAACCTACATTTTATAGTCTTGTATTTTTTTTCTCATTTAGTATTCACTTGTGTCTGGACCTTAACATTTTAAAGAAATCCCTTTATATGAATAGGATAAGG